AAGGCGTGAGAGAAGGCTTCCGAAAATCCTTAGACCCAAACTCACGAAGAACAGTTTGAAACAAGGGGGTGGAACAAAGATAAAAAGAACTCGTCGGTAAAAGGATGTTAAGGCGTGAGAACTAAGTTCCCAAAAATCCCTAAGCCCCGATTACGACAAACGAAAACTTTAAACTTTGCAGACGAAGGCTGCGTCAAGTTCTGATGTGAAGAACTTGATAAACCGAAAATAATTCTAGGCTAACCACCTGAGAATCAACAAAGTTCTCAAAAAGAACAAAGGAGAAAAGTCTCAAAATTTTATTAAGAAAAATGTGAATGACTAAAATGAGAGAGTTCATCGCCTTATATAGGAGCGGATCAGACCAAGGGTCATGCATAGGAAATTACAAAAAAAAAAAATGAGTTTGACTAAAAACTTGGACTTACTCTTTGCCTTAGCTTTGACTGACCCTTGAGCTGCTTCAGCGAAAATGACCCTTGCGCTTCTGACCCGTGAACCAAGCACGTACTGAACCGTGGCCGTGTGGTGGTATAGCCTTTGACCTCATTAAAACCCCACCCAGTAAACCCATTGGGACAAACCCGGATGTAAGGAAAAAGAGTACCAAAAACTATACCAGACCGAAGTCAGTAAGTACCCTGGTACGAGAGAAGAGTCACGGCTTCGGTTGTTACTGGTTCCATGTTCTGGTTCCTGAGCTCGGTAAGTATCTTCTGAACGGCTCCTGCCAACCTCCCGGTGCGTGATCTCGTCATCGGCCCGTCCGGAATGACCAAGGCTGCATCCGGTTCCTGCTCCACGACGTGATCTTCGATCCGTGGTTCAGCCTCTGGTTCCATAATCGCATCAGTGGTTCACCACTCGACCACCATAGCTTCACTTACGAAAAAATTTTCAAATCTATTATGAACCTTTCTAATTTAGAGATGCATTCATTGTAAAAACATTTTTTTTGTTTGAATATAATTTTACATTCGATTAAAAAAAAAGAAGAGTTAAAATGCATAAGGAGGAGACTGGAACTAGTAAAGCATTGATTCTTGTAGATCAAGATGGAATTAAAAACCTTAGTGATCACGAAAAAGCGGCCGAGTTATGTGGTGCTGAGATATCCTCAAGTATCATTGTGGTTGATATGCGAACTCCCGGGTAAGAGGTTTGTACGTTTGTAACTAAACATCAATCTCCTTTAATATCACAAAATAAATATATAGTGGTTTAAAATTTCAGTTTATGTGCAGGTTCCAACAGTTCTTGAATGCGACATCGAGGATAATGAATTTGTAAGTTTTTGACTATTACTTGTGATGAAATTTAGTAACCATGTCTCTACCTTTAGATGGTTACGATCTTCTTTCGTTGTGTAGTCACCGCCTCTGAAGCAGATGGGGTCAGTGATGAAGAAAGGATATAAAGATGTATGTTCAATACTAAAACCAATAATTTTTTTTATTTAAATATTAGCGCTTACAGTTTTTTTCTTGTTCGCATGTGATGTCATCTTAGAATGGCGTCTATGTTGGAGATGATAATGATCGTTTGATTCGAAATATGTACTTAGTGTATCAGGAAGCAGAAAGGATAGACGGGATGTAAAGAAGGTATGATATTATTCCACCAACAAAAAACAGCAGAATATAATGATGTTCCGCCCAGACGGGGATGATGATGTTCCGCCCACAAAAACAGCATTCTGGGATGCTATAATTTGCATTAGAATATGCCCACCCTAGGTCTATTTCAGGGCCTTCAGATGAGGTGTCAATATACCAACTCGGCATTGTCTATAAGCAAACAAAATATGACAATAAGTACTGTATATCTCACTGAAAAAAATGCATCCACATGGATGCAATGTTTTAGAAACATTTTAACCAAATAAGAAAAATTGGTGGGAATTCTCCCAATCAGTATTTAGATCGGAACATATATGATTGAATGGACCGGTATAAATGTTATATTGATCGAACAAAACAAGAATGAGTGTGATATGATAACAAATCTGAACTGAAACCTTTACAAAATAACAAGATGAATGCCTGGTTTAGTAACAAGATACAGAAGTCGACCAGTTTTAAACGGAGGTACCAACGGAAGGAGAACGAGGGTTGCATAGAGAGAGTAATAAGTCGGGATAAGTCTATACAAGCCGAGAGAGATAAGTCGGAAAGTCGGGAAGGTCTATATGAGTCAGAAGGGTTGTAATGATGTGTCTCCCAAAAAAAGCCGGAATGGAGGAGATTAATTGAAATGAAGGGCGGTGAAAAAAGGCTAAAAGGAAATAAGGTAAATAGAAGGTAAAAGGAAATGAAGGGCAAAAAAGTCAAAAAAATGAGAGCAAAGTAAGATAAGTGCCCAAAAAGTAAAAAATGTCTTTTTGGATATAAAACATAGAAAAAATGTCTTTTTGATAATATTCTCTTTAAAAACTGTCTTAAAATTAAGTAAACATTACTTATTTCCAATAGAACAGATGCATAAAAGTAAACTTAAATTTATTTTTTTTCTTCGTGTTGATTGCGAGCAAAAGCGGGGTTGTTGTTTTCGTTTTTACTAAGCTTCAGGTTTTACATTTATAACCCCTAAATGTCTGCAAGTGCACAGATGTGCGCTGTAGTACTTAGGGTATCGATCCACATAGACTTAGTTGTTTCAGTAGAATTCACGGCAACGCTTAAATCATATTAGAACTAAACAATTTGGGTTTTGGTTTTGAGTTTTGGTTGTCTCTAAATCTAAACTAGAAAGCAAAGCAAACAAAAGAAATTGAAAACAAAAGCAAATAAAAGCAAGTAAAAATCCAATAGATCAAAGGCGAATTGAAGCAAGTAAAAGCGAATGAAAAGCAAACTAAATCGAAGGTTGTAAGCAATTAAAGACAAACGTTGGGCATCAAGGAGAATTCGCAGGGATTCATGGACTAAGCTATGTCGATTTTAAACATATGATAAAGGTAATCAACTACGTATGTTCTAGAACTCGAGGCACGAAAGTATGAATAGCCTACTTTCGCAGCACTAAACAACTATCTCTCGCAACCCTGATCAGTAGGTTTCCACTCTGATCCTGGAAGGGAGTAGATGCAATAGCGACTCATCAACATTCACAACTCAACTACAGGTAGGTTTCCACTCCTATAGAAGAATTGCTCGTTTCACCCTAGTTCAGACAATCAATGAAAACTTTCGCAACATATCATATCAGATCGGTTTCTAAGTGGCCAGCAAAGAATCACGCAGTAAAATGAAAGGCAAACGAAGAATATCTAGAAGATTATAAATCCTAAATCTATCGATTCATAAGCAAAGACACATGAAATTCCCTTTGAACAATCCCTTTAAACTCAACTGGGTAACTACTCAAACATATTGTAAACAATCATCACAGAGTATTGAAAGTTGTAGAAAATTAAAGAAAAGAGGGAAGAAAAACGAAGAACAGAGTCGCAGATGGAGGCGCGATGATGCTCTCTCCTCGACGGCTCCTCCTTCAAAGGCGGCGGCTCCTAGGGCTTCTCACACGAACTCTCTCTCTCTTTCTATCTTATGTCGTCTACACACCTTTAGGAATGACCTAAAGGGGGTATTTATAGCTTCTGGGGTGGTTCTGGACACTTAGGGCTTCAAAAATAACGAAAGGAATTGATCTGGGCTTTAATTAAGTCGTCTGGAAAGTGAACGACCAATATCCGCGGTCGCGGTGGCTCTACCCGCGGGAAAACAGGTGTTGGCCGCGGTCTCGGCACATGGCTCTCTTCTGGAACTACATTTTCTGTCATTCTTGCATCGGGAGTATCTGAAGATCTAACCGTTGGATTGTCTCCAAACCAAATGCATTAGAAAGCTGGTTGGATCCTCTATGTTGTCTCAAATTTTTGGGGGTGATCAGATGGTGAGAAAGTCTTCATCGCTTGTCATACTTCTGACGGTCTGCATTTATCCAAAATTGCGTATTTGTTCTAAATTGCATATCTTTTGTCCAAGTTTCCTGTAAAGTCTTTTGAAACTCTAAAACATTGAAAACACTTTAAAAACCATTGAAAACAGAATTAAAACACCTGCATAAGACATAATTATGATCCATAAAAGTGGTCAAAATACGGTGTTATCAGGTGTCATCTACTAGTTGTTTCTAATCCAAGGAAATAAAGAATCATCAGTTGGTAACTAAACCAAGACTTCATAAATTATGATTATTATCATCTTAAGTGACTAAAGTCCAATCATCTACAAATTAAATTGCAAGAAAACTGCAATTTCCTGAAGAATATAAAGAGATAGAGATTCACAATTTTCACCATATCTTTCACAAGGACTGGGCTTCCTGCAAGAATAAAAAAAAACCAAAATTTTCACAAAGAGAATGATTTAGTGAGAAACTATGATATGGGTTTTGCTTCTGATTTCACCTTGAAGTCGAAGAAGAGAGACAGGGCAATGGCAACGATGAAACTGATAGTAACAATGAATGTTTATGTATCGACGAATCCACCACCATCGAAGCCGTTACTTAGGAAGAGAACGGGAGGGTTGATGATGAGATTAGACGAGCAGTGAACACTTGTCCAAAAGCATTTGTTTACTTTGTGGTGATGGCTACTAAATTCGGGTTTTGATGTGGAGAAATTGGAGTAATATAAAAATCTTGGAGTTGGGTTTAAGAAACAAGATGAAAGGAGGTGCAGAGAGATGAGAAGTGGAGTAGCCATGGATCAAAGAGAATAAGACCTCGAATATAACCTGTGGAAAGACATTATTAGAGTAGCTGCACACAAATTTGATATTGATTTAAAGGTTTGAAGCACAACGAAATAATGTTGGGCTAATAACGAATCTAGATAATATTCGTTAAGACCATCTCCAATCGTGAGAAATTTTTAGGAGTATATCTCACTCAATATAATAATAGTATTTTTATATAATTTAATTAATTAATTAAAATTTAAATTAAAAAAAAATAAATCTCATTAATATAATAGTGATACATACATCTTACAAGAATCTCTCTGATTTGTTTTTAGAGGTTCTCTCGTTTTCATTCTCTCTCATTTTTTTTTTATTTTTTATATTTTTTTAATTATGAAAACCCTTTTCAGAAACTACGGTTGGGTGTTCTAAAAAAACTCAGTGACAAGTATTTTATTTTCTCGTTACAACGAAACAAATTTTTAGGGTTTTGAAGAGTCTCCCTCTCGTCGCCGTTCTTCTTCCAATCAACGGAAATGGGTTTCTCCGCGATATGGAATTCTCATCCAAAGAAGTACGGACCTGGATCTCGCACCTGGTAATTTAAATCATCTTCCTTTCTGGCTTCTTTGCTTTGATTGGTTTGGTTTCTAGAAGAATGTAGGAGACAAATTGAACGAAAAAACAATCTCGATTTTCTGGTGATGAATCTGATCAGGTTTGATTATTTTTGGTTAATTATTCGGTAATGACTGTTTCACTTGTTCTGATTGTAGAATAGTAAGTTTTGAAGTGTTTGATTGCAGAAATTCTTATTAGAGACTTAATTAATAGTGTATTGCTGTTCTCTGTGAGATTAGTTTATGTATGATATTGTATTGCTTCTGTGAGATTTGCTTATGTATAAGATTGTGTATTTGATGTAATAACCCATACCGGGGATGAGTACGTGGCCGAGCTGTGAGATTAGCTTATGAATGATATTGAATATTTGGCTTCTGTGAGATTAGGTTATGTATGAGATTGTTTGTTTGGCTTTTGTAAGTTTATGTTATGTATGAGATTGTGAATTTGGCTTCTGTGAGATTAGCTTGTGTAGGAATTATGATGATATTGTGTCTTTGGCTTCTGTGAGATTAGCTGATGTATGATTTTGAGATTGTATATTTGCCTTCTATGAGATTGTGTATTTGGCTTCTGTGAGATTAGCTTATGTATGAATTTGCTTTTGAGATTGTGTATTTGCTTCTGTGATATTAGCATATGTATGGAATTACGTATTTAGCTTCTGCGAGATCAGCTTATGTATGAGATTGTGTATTTGGCTTCTATAAGATTAGCTGTATGATATTGCGTATTTGGCTTAGCTTATGTATAAATGATATTGCGTATTGGGCTTAGCTTAGGTATGAAATTGTGTATTTGGCTTCAGTAAGATTAGCTGAATGATATTTACGTATTTAGCTTTTGTGAGATTCGGTTATGTATGAGATTGTGTATTTGGCTTCTGTAATTATTAGCTTATTATTGTGTATTTGGCTTCTGTATGATTAGCTTATTATTGTGTATTTGGCTTCTTTGAGATTAGCTTATATGTGAGATTAGCGATGTGTTATATTTGGCGGTCAAGATTCTGACTTTGTGTTATGCTATACTTGTCTGTACATAGCCGTGTTTGCGGGAACTCCCACGGGTTGATTAGGAAGTATGGTCTGAACTGCTGCAGACAGTGCTTCCGCAGCAATGCCAAGGAGATTGGCTTCATCAAGGTAAAATTTTTAATGATATTAATCTCCATGACTTTTGTTTATTTCATTCTTTTGAATCATTGTTCATTCTGGTTTTGTATTCTCGTCTTTGCAGTACCGTTGATGTAGCACCAACCAGTCCATGTTGGATGCTTATAATATACACATGATGGCATCGATGGATTTTCCTTTGGTCGTCTTTCTAGTTTTGATATTATGAATTGAGAATGTTTGTTTTACTTATTTATATTTAAGTTGTTGAACCTTTCCCAAAGATAGTTGTTGCCTTGTCTTATAAAGCTTTATGTCTTTGTTTTGAAGGTTGAATGATGATGTTTGTCTTAGTATTTTATTGCTTGTTTTATTAGTCTATTACAATATATTGTGATTCTTGTTTTTCAGTCTGTGGTTTCGATTGGCAGTTTTAGAGGAGCCCAAAACACTTGAATTTTCTTAAAGCGGATGAGATTAGGCTATCGTAGATACACATGAGCTTCACTAAACAATGTAGAAATAATATGTGAATTAAAGTTGAAAGGGACGGATGATTATAAACATACGTTCGAGTTGTGACTTATGACATGTTTTCTGTCGTTTAATTAGAAATATTATATGAGAAATATTATATGGGTTGAATATTATAAGAGAATATTACCACTAGGTGTATTTTTTGAAAATGTAATTGCCAAAAAATATATTTTCTAAATCAGGTGGACTTATCGTATTTTGCTCTCATTTTTAGATTTTTTAACCTTTCTTTTTCATTTACCTTACCAAAAAACCCATTTAAATCCACTCATCAGCTTCTACACACTAAATCGTATAAGATCATCTTGATTTATCAGTTTTCACACATTAAATCGCATGGGACCCATCTATATATATGCAACTATACGGATACATATGTAAATATGCCCATATATTTATATAGTTACATTCATCTATAATATATATAGATATATATATATAAGTGTATCCATATAATTATATCCATTTATACTCTATGTACGTGGATATGCATATATCTATCCATATATTATGTGTTTACGTGTACGCTACTATATGGATATGTATATGTATACATATATATCTATACTAGGATAGTACCCGTGCTGTGCACAGGATGAATGTTATCTTTTATACCGAAATCATAAACTACTATAATGTATGTATACAGGATGTTGAATGATATTTGATTAATTGCGCATTTTGTTGTATTTGAAACAGAATTTATTACAAGTGTTTATTTATGTTAGTACCATATTGATATATGATAAATGGACTTGATATATGTGACTAACTATTTATTGATTTGTTTAGTATTTTTTTGTTTTTAATAGTTTCCCTTTTTGTAATATACATAAATGAATGAATTTAACCGATTTCTAATTTCATTCATAAATATATTATGCTAATTATAAGAAAAATGACCAAATAAATTGAAGTGTATGATGAAAAGAAAGACAGAATTAATATATTCGACTATTAATATTAATATTATATTTTGGTATAAGAACAGTCAGTGAATGTATATTAATTTGGTATGCTTTTGGTTAATAGTTAGGTTATAAGAACAATTTTATATATCTGTCGCATTACTTGAATGTATATTAACTTGGTATGGTTTTGGTTATTTATAATTGAGGATGATATTATTTGAACTTTCTATGTTGTCTACATAATATATATAGTATTAGACGAATATATATATATATATATATATATATATATATATCGTAATGAGCAAACATCTATAGAGAATAATGAAAGCAATCTATCTTATTAATAAATCCTGAATTTGACATAAGTTCATAGAATTAAAACGTTGACTACTTCACTTGGTCACCTTTGTAGCTAAACGACATGAATAATTGAACCTCCAACCATAATTAATAGGTGAATATGATATATGAAATTAGTCTTTAATCTCAATGTCATTGTTCTCCGTCTTATTGGAGTTGAAGTACCTAAATAGTTATATACAGATATGTTATTACTGGCATTTAGAAAAATATCAAATAGTACTTACTTATCTTTGAACTTGTCAACTTCAACAATATGGGGATCAAAAAGAAACCTTGACATCCCTCTTGCATCCGAAACAGTCAATATCCCTAAAACATATATTTTACGTATAGCTAATATTTGATCTAACAACTAATTTCAACATTCTTACAATATATTAACAAAATATATTATTATCTTGATAACATACAATTAAATGGGTAACGATTCAAATACTTACTTGAGATTTCTCAACGTAAATCGTAGTCGACTATAGTATCTACGAAAATCACAATCTAGTCCGTAATCCTTAATCCTTGTAAGTCGTCCAACATGGACAACAGCACCAAGTAAATCTAATATCACATAAAGTATCAAAAGATGTTTAAAAGATTTTAAATTGAAAATCAATGAGAATTATATAAGAAAAATATGAAATACCAATAGGATACTTATGATCAATAGTCCCATCCAAAATATCCTCAAACTCTGAGAAAGACATAAATTGAGTATCGGTAGGGATTTCATATAGCCTTTTGACAGTAGTATTCTGAAGTAGAAAAATCCTCCATTTATGATGAGTTGTTTTCTGAAACCAAAATGAATCATTTACAACAAAATCATGTAGAGTATTCCACAGTCCTTCTTGCAAAGCTTGATCATAATACGAAACCAACACAGGATTAGTCATCGAAGCTTGAATCTTGCATCCCTGAAAAGTTCAGTATCAATATATTAAGATGTTTATGAAAAATAATACTACTATGAAGTAAATAATAATAACTTACTTCTTCATCCACCAGAATAAATTCCAAACCTTCAATTCCTTGTGGACCAAGAGTTTCCCATTTTTTTAAAACCAATATTTTGATTTTCCAGTCTGATCTCCATGAATGCAAATCAGAAACTCGGTGATAGAGTTTCATAGTGAAAGAGTACGATGTGGTATCTAGGTTTTAGACAACTGCAAAATCCAATATATATAGGAGGCTTTAGGTTTATAGTAATACAGTTAGATTAATATGTCTAATGGAAACCGAATATCTCGTATGGATATTTTCTAAGATCATGAAACTATATTTATAGTTTCAAATTTAGAAACTAAATATCCATTAATAAATTCATATATTATTTTTGATTATATCTAAGTGATTTTTTATTTATTGATAATATGATAGTACTATTTATATAGAAGTACAACGATATATATAAACTGTGTAATATAACAGAAAAAACTTGTTTACCTTGGTTGCATGTTAAGGATTGGTAATACATGTCTATTTAAAAATTCTACTACTCATTAGCGAATAAAAAGGCAAAATATATGACTATCAAATATTGCAAAAAATTAATATCCAAATAATACACTTTATTGAAATCAAATTAAATATGGTAGGAAGAGAAACAAAGTGTTTATTAAAACAAACTTAGGAGAACACCACTCATAACAAAATATAAAATAGAATATAAAATATAAGATAGCATAACATAAGTTCTAATCCTTTATTCCTTGAGAACTTGAAGCACTCACGTATACTTCCGTTATCTTCTTTGCAAGCCTGAGAATAATATTTTTCATGTAATTAGTCAGTAAAAAAAATCATAATCAAAAACTATTGAATGTTAATAACGTTTATTACTTGATCCCAAAGCTTTTGACTTCATCCAATGGCGGGGCAATAGCAAAACGTGAAAGCGATCCCTCCTTGTAATTTTCAATTGTCATTTCATCTAATATATAAATAAGATAAGGTCATCAAGTTTTGAATGTCTATAAGGTTGTCTTATAAATATGAAAATCATATAAACACACCAATGTTTTTCTTAACCAACCAATCAGTTAAGACACAAATAGCAAATGGACTCTTCCCTACAGGACCTTTGCATTTCCCTTCTATCTCGTAAGCCAAGTCATCATGTGCAACACAGTTAAGAGTACAATTCCTACACATTATAATTATTATGATTATATTGTATCTCAAATAATGATATAAAAACATGAAACCATTATATTACTTACTCCAGATCTTTAATTCGGAATCTCAGTGTTGGAACACTTTTGTCATCGGGATAAACAATTGTTACCATATTTTTGACATGATCCAGAACACCAATGAAATCTGGATTACAAAATATTGTAGTACAACAACTGATCAATATTACACAATCAATCATACAATACTATAATCGATAACACTAACATAATTAAATACATAAGTAATAAAGATAAATGTTAATACTTACCAACTGGGTATAAGTGGCTGTAAGGCTTATTGTAAACACGGCTGAAATCAACAAAACGAAGGAAAGGATCTCTAGTCAAAGGTCGGATGGAACTGACCTTAGTTTCACCATCTAAAATTATTTGCTTAACGTGTCTTGTAGTCCGTTCTTCCCACTTAGAAGGAATTAGTTTGAATTTGGATAACTGCACCCAATTTCCTTCTTGCAAAACGTATTCGAAATAGGATAGATTGAGGTTACCAACGTAGGCAGAAATTCTGCAACCCTGTTAGGGTAATTGATATAAAATATTAGTAGCAAAACGATATGAAGTACTAATAATATAAAACATTGATAGAGATGAGTATCAAACTTACATTCTCATCAACCAATATGAAATTCATCACATGAAGACCGTCGGCATCAAAGGCCCCCCATCTCTTTAAAATCTTCACCTTAATTGTCCAACCATCCTCCCAAGATTGTAACTCATGCACCATTTGGTATTCACGCATTTTGTTTGAGTTTCCGATTAAAGATGAAAAAATGGTTTGCAGCAAAGGTTTATATAGGAGTATGTTAGTAAATTAAGGTTATGACGTCCCAAAATTATTTGCGTATATACGAAGAATTGTAAAAAAATTTGCAACAGTCAGTGATTTTTGGAATATGAATCTTGTTAGTTATATCTTAGATGGCATAAATAACGATTATCTATATTGTTTAAGAATATTTCCATAGTTTGGTTGAAGTTGTTACGATACATTTAACAGATTATAGAATTAAATATTAACGTATATTTTGTGCAACTTTAAATAAGTAATATGACAAATATATGGAAGTCGTATTCGTAATTTTTTTAAAAAATGATTTGTTTCGTTCTCCTTGCATATATGTGTTATCTCGCGTAACTAAGGAAAGATGATTATAGAATATGCAATCAAATATTAACAATGATTAATTTAAGGAATGCGCTGAACCCTAAACATAAAGTTTCTAATAATATTACTATCATATCTAAATTCTTCCGGAAATCTAGTCATTATATTTTCCAAATCCTGAAATATAAGGAGACAAAGAATTGGGGATATAGAAAGTACGAACAAATAGGAACAAATATCTCTATTAATTATTTAGCAAAATAATTTAATATAAATCCATTATTAACTAACTTATTAATTATTTTTTGTGGTTACATCGTTATTACTAAAATTAAATTAAATTACAAAGTTGTTAATAAAGAAAATTTATAAATGAACGATTGTATTCAATTTATAAGATCATTTAGTTCGCATAAATTGTAATCTTTTGCAAATTATAATAATTATGATAACATAAAATATATTTAAGATAGTTAAAATAAAAAGGGTAATTGTTCAGAGTGTAACTTCAAAGCAATTCGAGAAATTAAACATAAGTCTTAACATTCGACAAAGAAGGAGGACATCACTCCTTTTGATTACTGACATGAAATTAAAGATAGTTAAGAAAGAGAAGTTCAGGATTTGATGAAATCAAATTACACATCTCTTGTTCCAGAAGATGAAGGACTATGGGCCGAACCCCTTAGCTTTTGCCAAATCCTGAACAAATACATAAAATAAAAATAAGTAAGGATAACTAAAATAAATTTAAAATTGAAAATGTGATTATTAAGGTAATGAAAAATATTACTTGGCACGGAGATCGTTTACTTCATCAATATCTGGATGAACCAAGAAACGTGAGAGCTTTCCTTCTTCAAAATCAGTGATCGTAATTTCATCTATATAAAAAAGGAAATTATAAGGAAGAAAACAATTTGATTAAAAAATAAATTATCAAAGCAAAAATAAATACATAATGGCTACTTACTCTCATTCTTCTTAACAACCCAATCAGTCAATACACATATGGGATATGGTCCTTTAAGTAATTTGCAGTTTGATTTATCCTTGATATCATAAGCCAAATCACCATGTGCGACACAGTTCATTGTATTATCCCTAGAGATAAAGAAAAATTCATACTAAATAGAAATTTCTATAATCATAAAATCAAATAAAAAATAGTAGAAGGCATTACTCTATATCGCTGATACGAAAATGTAGGGTTGGAACACTGTTCTCATCATTGAAATCGAATTCAACATTGCCAATCTCCTTATCAAAAATACCCATCAAATCTGAATAAAAACCCAATAATCAATGCATGTCTATATAACATAACTTTATTTTATTTTGTTGTGAATATATGATAAACAAAAAGAGACGTATGTATTTTATACAAAAACAGAATATTATTAAAAGGAAACATACCGATCGGGTAGTAGTGAGAAGGACGGCTGTAAACACTTGGAAAATCAACGATTTTGATGAAAATATCCTGGCTCAAAGGTCTGATATAATTCACCTTTGAACTCTGATTGAGAATGATCTTGTAAGCATGATTTGTGGTTCTTTCATTCCAACCGGAGTTAACCAAGCGAAACTGTGAAAGTCGAAGCCAAGAACCTTCTTGGAAAACCCTCTTGTAGAAAGAGAGTTTGAAGTCGTTAACCATTGCAGCAACTCGAGATCCCTAGCAAAATTTAATATTTAGTTAAATAAGCAACAAT